TTCCCAAGCTTCCCTGGCTACTGGACCCTGGCTTCCTAGGGGAAAACAGTTTTGAACTTGGTGGGTCCAGAGTGGATTCTGCCAATATAGCCAGAGAGTGGGTTCTGGGAAGTGGGAGGAACAAGTCCAGCTCCTTGGGAGAGAGAGCTGATTTGCCCCCAGGCCTGGCTCCTTACAGCCTCCTCCCCAGTGCTGAGCAGGTGCTGAGCACATAGGTGCTGAGCCGAAGACTAGGTTCCCTCTCTGCCCAGGCCTGGGATTTAAGGTTGAGCTCAGGTTGTCTGACCCATGGCTGTGTTACCTCTCTAATCTCTGCCACAGGGGACGTTAGCCAGGGGCCAGCATACAGGAATAAAATGAAATGCCATCTGGGCTTTCCTGCTCTCCTCCTATGCCTTCCCCAAGTGGCTGGGTGGGCTTAGACTCAGGCTGGGCTGTGAATCCACTCACCTGTCTCCCTGTCCTCACTGTCCTTTTTTGAGATCTACTGTCCTGTCAGCTCTCTTTGGGAAGTTTATACCATTCTTGGGCCCTTCTCTGGGAGCCAGGATACCAAGCGATCCTCCAGGATGCTGTCATTTAAGGGCCAGACAGCCCACCTCTGCCTCCTCCCTCCGTGTAGCACATGCTCCCCCTCCATGGGCCTTATGCTCCTCCCACGTACCTGGCTTGACATTTATCAATTGTTCACAGTAACCATATGATGTGGATGTGATTATTATCCCCATTTTAAAGATGAGGGAACTGAAGCTTGGGGGGTTAAACAACTTTCCCAAGGTCACATACACTCCCAAAGGGCAGAGCCAAGATCTGAACCCAAGATTGTCTGATTCTACTATTCACCACTGCCTGACTTTTCAGGGGCCATTGGTTCCCTGTCCTCGTGCTTGTCCTCTTCCTACACTGCTCCGTATCCCTCTTACTAGTACCCTTTCTCTGGCCCCCAAGACTCTCACAACCTGAGGTTGTGCCCAAACTGAGGTTTTTCTGAGCTCTCTGTGTCTCCATCCTTCAGACAATGCTGTCAGGCCTGCCCCCTGGCAGCTGAGACTCAGAGTCTCTTGACAGCATCAGATGACAGAGGCCAAGAGAGGAGAGTCTTTCAGGAATGAGAGATGCCAAGTAAGGTTAGGACTCAGGAGGGTCTACTGGATTCAGCAATAAGGGGATGGCAGGTGTCCTTGGTGGGTGCAGAGGTGGAGGGCTAAAGATAACACCAGAGATAAGAGATATGGTAATAGCTGCAGTAGGGCTTCAGGCTCACCATGTGCTATTCTGAGCACTTTATACTATTAACTCATCTAATATTCACAACCACTCTATGAGATAGGAATTATCATTCCTATTTCCCCTCGGGGAAATTAAGAGGTTAAATCTGTAGTCCCCAATCCCTAGGCTGTGGACCTGAACCAGTCTGTGGGCTGTTAGGAACCAGGCCACACAGCAGGAGGTGAGTGGCAGGTCAGTGAGCAAAGCTTCATCTGTATTTACAGCGGCTGCCCATCGCTCGCATCACCACCTGAGCTCCGCCTCCTGTCAGATCAGCAGTGGCATGAGATTCTCATAGGAGTACTAATCCTACTGCAAACTGCACATACAAGGGATCTAGGTTGTGCACCCCTTATGAGAATCTAATGCCTGATAGTCTGAGGTGGAGCTGAGGCAGTGATGCTAGTGCTGGGGAGAGGCTGCAAATACAGATTATCACTAGCAGAGAGGTCTGACTTCACAGAGACCATAATAAATCAATTGCTTGCAGACCCATATCAAAACCCTGTCAATGAGAGGCAAGTGACAATGTAATAATAATAGAAATGAAGTGCATAAAAATGTAATGTGCTTGAATCATCCCGATATCATCCCCCCAACCCCAGTCCATGGAAAAATTGTCTTCCATGAAACTGGTCCCTGGTGCCAAAAAGGTTGGGAACCACTGGGTTAATTGGCTTACCCAAGGTGACAAAGCTTAGTGACCTTAGTGACTGGATCTGGGAACCTGGGCAGTCAGCCTCCTGACTCCACACTGTTAACTGCCAAGCCATACATCCAGCTGTCAGCTGTGAGGAGGGGAGGGGCACCAGTGGGCATCGGAGGGCATCGGTGGGCAGGGCCAGTAGAGAGGGAGAGGCAGGCTGGAGGGATAAGAAGGGTGGAGCAGGTGATTTACAGCTGAGTGCTTCCCTCTCCTAGACCATAAACTAAGGGGACCTGTCAGCACCTAGGAAGGGAGATAAGGTGATTCAGGAGGGAGGGGCTGGGTAGGCCTGGGGACCATCCTCTTTCTCTGGCAGAGGCTTCAGGTCATGCACCTTTATCCCTGGCTCTGTGGGAAATTCACAGACCAGTGCTGGTAACAGGCAGAAGTGTGAGGGCCACAGATGGGGGTGGGGTGAGGATTGAAATGCAGCCAGCTGGGGTGCCCTGGGAAGAGCTTTCAGGGAGACACAGCTTGAGCTCCTCTACTCCCAAGACCTGGCTTCCCAAGTCCTAGAACATTTGTAAGTGGTAAGTAGCCCAGATGCTCTAGGAAAGCCCCAGATCAGAGCTTGGGAAGGGGCTGCATGGCCACGGTGGCCAAGGCTCAGGGGCTGGTATCTTGCCCTCCCCAGGTTAGGTCCTAGGTCTTTAGACCTCTGGACCCACGTGCACACACACACAGACACACACACACACACACACACACACATACTGACATCTCACCTGGGACTAGGAGAACATAACTCCGATCAGGCCACGAATAGGTTTTCAGATCTTGGCTCCTTGGGAAATCTCACAAAAGGCGAGGTGCGGGGTGGGGGGAACCAGATGTCTTTAATGTTAAAAGGGAGGGAGGGGGAGAGAGAGAGAGACAGAAAGAGGGGTGGAGGGAGGGAGAGAGAGAGGGAAAGAGGAAGGGAAGGCAGGAAGGGAGGGAAAAGAAGCCTGCCTGGTTTCAAGTCCTCCCTAGCTTTACCTAGATGAATCAATCAGATCCAATCCTGTCCTCTCATGGGCTAGCGGGAGCCCGCCCTGTAAACAGATCATAGACCATAACTGCTGTAAGAGAGGAAACCTAGAAGGCTTTGTGGAATGACCTGGAGAAGATCATGGCAAGATTCCCAGAGGATGCTCTGAGCTGCATCTTAAAGGAGCAGTTAAAAATGAGCTAGGCAGAGGTTGGTGATGGGGTTAGAGGTGTGTGAGTCTCAGAGGGCCTTGTGTATCCAGGATCTGGCTCTGGCTTGGGGACAAGCTCATCAGCAGAAAGTCTCTGCCTCCTCATTTCTGACGGACTGTCTAGTCTGGAAGGCTTGGGAGGCAACAGTGGGCCAGGAGGTGGAAACCACGGGGAACAGAGTCAACTTTTCGTAGTTAATAGTAGCCCGAGCTCAATGCCTACAGTGCTCCGGGCTCTAGGCATGGTTTCTGTGAAGACTCACAACTGCCCTGTAAGGTAAGTGTTATTGATCCTGCTTTGCAGAGGAGAGACTGGGGTTCAGAGACATTGGGTAACTTGTTCAAGGTTACAGAGAACTGGAATTCACATCCATGTCTGTCTGACTCCCAAGCCCATGCTCATAACCACCTGCCCACACATCCTCTCTTTAGATAAGACTTGTGGGTAAGAACCAGCTAACAGCGTGGGGGCGGAGCTTCCCAAGAAAGGTCAGAGGTGGGACCACCGCTCCCAAAATTGGTAAGCGCTAGGAGGGTAAGTGAACTACCCAATTTCCTGCCTGCTCTGAGGTTCTATTTCTAACTCTATCAGTGCCTTAGGTATTATTTCCTCTGGCTGACAGATGAAGAAACTGAGGCCCAGAGGTGGAAGTGGCCACTCAAAGCCTGGGCAACCCTAGTCAGGATGCTGGACATAGGGCTTACAGGGACTTGCATTCCTGGGCCTGAACTCCCGGATCCGTGCCATCAGCCCTGTGGCATGGGGATGAGGAAGGGCCTGGCCAAGACCCCCAGAGCCTGGACTAGAAGGTTGGCAGTGTGGCCAGTGCACAGGACCATGGTCCTGGAGCTGAAGCCCTTGTCTCAACCCAGTTGAGCCACTTCCAGCCTTGAAGTCTATCAGCTCTGGCTTTGGGTCCTGCCTCCCACAGGTCCTAGCTGTGTGACCATGGGCAAGTCATTTATCTCTTGGTGCCTCAACTATGAAATGGAGATGATTCCTACCTCATGGGGTTGTGATGAGGATTCCATGGGAGGATGACACAGTAGTGCCCTTGGCACAGTGCCTGTCACTTAGTCAGTGCTCTGTGATCAGCAGCTGGTATTACTGCAACAGTTTATCACACATCTGTCTTCTCACCTGAAGCCTGGGACAGTAATCCCTATCACCCTGGCTTGAAGGACATGGTGTTGTCTGTGTAAGCTGTGGAGTTGGTGCAAGTGGCACTTCTGCCACTCAAAGGCCAGCCTAGCCCTGCAGGGGTAGGGACACACATCCAGTTCCCAGCACCAGGAGAAGCTGGGTGACAGCCTCAATCCATCAATGATGGCCTTAGTCCAGCCTAACTTTATGGACCCAGAAGGTATTTAAGTGTGTGAGGGTGAAGCCCAGCCCAGTTCTCCCTCAGCACAGACTGCTGCCCAGAGCAGGTAGGCAGGAATGGGGTGGGGGTGACAGTACCCTGGGCCTTTAGAGACTACATAATCAGCCTCCAGAGCAAAGTCCCAAGGAATATTGGTGGGTCTGGGCTGGAGTTGGGTCTCTCGTCCTTAGCAGTTCAGGACCTGGCTATCCCCAGCCCTGCAGGCTGAAGAGGAGCCTGGGCAAGGCTCATGCATGAAGGGCACAGATCTCAGCCCCACGTTGCCCAGCTCCACCCTAGCTTCACGCACGTACTATGGGCTCTGCAGGAGATGGGGGTGTGCTTTTCTGCTCTGCAGCTTCCAACCCCCTTATCTACTGACACAGGGTGAAGGCTGGGGTATGTGACCAGAATTGAAGGGAGGTTGCTTGGGGAACTAAGCGTGGTGATGGGAAGGCAAGCTAAAGAGAGAGACAGCTCTGGGGGCAGCTCTTGTGACCTCCTGCCCCAGGCCCCCAGCACCATGACGGTTTCATATACCCTGAAAGTGGCGGAGGCCCGCTTCGGAGGCTTCTCCAGCCTGCTTCTGCGCTGGAGGGGCAGCATCTACAAGCTCCTCTACAAGGAGTTCCTCCTCTTCGTGGCCCTGTATGCTGTGCTCAGCATCACCTACCGGTGAGGGCAGGGTCTGTCTCAGGGCTGGCCTGTGGGGGGCTGGGCTGCCCACCTCTCTCTAACCCCACCTACACCTGACCTTCCCCAGGCTGCTGCTGACCCAGGAGCAGAGGCATGTGTATGCCCAGGTGGCCCGGTACTGCAACCGCTCTGCGGACCTCATCCCCTTATCCTTTGTGTTGGGTGAGGGCTCCTTCTAGTTCCCCTTGGTATCCTCCTTGCCGTCTTCCCTGACCTTTGGGTTGAGTTGACAGCTCTGAGGGTCAGAATTACCCAGCAGAGCAGCACAGCCTGGAGGCTGACCAGACCAGAGCAGGCACAGGAGCTGGGTGCTGAGAGCAGGATTTTGGGAGGGGTAGGCCCTGCCTATCACTTGTTGAACCCTCACTCCCAACAAGGCACAAGACACCTGCTGGTCTCACAACCTCACTCTGGGCACTGGAGGGGAGCTGAAGAGAGGGGACAGTACCCTCTCCACTCTCAAAAGAAGCAGATCTCGGAGTTAACCATTACCTGGCTTTGAACTCCCACTTCCCCTCTGCCAGAGGAAGTTGTGTACTTCTCTTTCCTTGGGGTCCGACCTGGCACAGCAGGGCAGTGGGAACAGAGGAAGAGGCAGGGCGCTGGAGCCGAATGTGTCCTTCCTCCTGCCATAGTTCAACCTGGCCTGGACCGGGCCCTTGGCTGGGGGACACAGGGCACTCTGACTCCCGGGTCCTCCATGCTCCTTCCTGGCCCCTCTACCCATGGCGGCCACCAGGTTTCTACGTGACGCTGGTGGTGAACCGCTGGTGGTCCCAGTACACAAGCATCCCGCTGCCCGACCAGCTGATGTGCGTCATTTCGGCCAGCGTCCACGGCGCGGACCAGCGGGGCCGCCTGCTGCGCCGCACCCTCATGCGCTACGCCAACCTGGCGTCCGTGCTGGTGCTGCGCTCGGTCAGCACGCGCGTGCTCAAGCGTTTCCCCACCATGGAGCACGTGGTGGACGCAGGTGCGCGGCCCAAGGGGAGCCTCTGGGGGCCTGGCCCATCGCCGGGTGTAGGTGCCGATGCCACGCTGGGGGAGCGCGGGGGCAGGGTCCTCCGGGGAAGCCGATGTCTGACCTCCTAGGAGAGCTCCGGGATCCCGGAACAGGACCCCCCAGTCCTGGGCCGCCAGCGGATGCGAGGGAGGGCTGCCATCTGGTGGAACAGCAGCTGGCCCTGGCGGCGGAGGATGCATCCACACACCTCCCACTTTACCCCCGCAGGTTTCATGTCCCAGGAAGAGAGGAAAAAGTTTGAGAGCCTGAAATCCGACTTCAACAAGTACTGGGTGCCCTGCGTCTGGTTCACCAACTTGGCGGCCCAGGCCCGGAGGGATGGGCGTATCCGTGATGACATAGCTCTCTGTCTACTTCTGGAAGTGAGTCAGCCTGAGACCAGACCCACCTGCCCTCCTTTCTCTAGCTTTGCAGGAGGATAATAATTTTAGTACTTAGCACTTATATGGCTCCAACTATGTACCCTTCACTTTTGGAAGCACTGTACCTATATTAACTCATTCAAACTGGGTGCAGTGGCCCATGCCTGCAGTCCCAGCTACTCTGGAGGCCAAGGCAGAGGATCACTTGAGCCTAGGAGTTGGAGACCAGCCTGGGCAACACAGGGGACCCTGTCTCAAAAACAAAAGCAAAAATAAAAAAAGCCAAATTCATTTAACCCTTACAAAATCCTTGAGATAGGTACTGTTATTATCATCCCCATTTCACAGATGAGGAAACTGAGGCACAGAGTGGAAAAGAAATTTGCCTAAGTTACACAGCTAGTTAGTGGCATTCCAGGGTCTGTGCTTGCAACTCCTTTGCTAACCTGCTTCCCATCACAGGCACCCCAGCCTGATAACACCTCTGAGAGTAGAAAGAGACTGAGCCTCCAGGCCTGGCCCAGGCCTAGTTTGTGCTGGGCTTCCCTGTTCTCTTCTCATTCTTCCTTGCTCACCTCCAGTGACTTCCTCTTCCTGTTGTTTCACCAGGAGCTGAACAAGTACCGTGCCAAGTGCAGCATGCTGTTCCACTACGATTGGATCAGCATCCCCCTCGTCTACACCCAAGTAACTGCTTCCCACCTCCCCGGTCCCAGTGCCTACCGTATGTCCTGTGCTGTGTGTGAAATGCTGAGAAGAATTAGAGATGGTACTTGTCTGCCCAGTTCAGGTCCCTGAGGCGCTGAACAGCCACAGATTCATCCTCAGAGCCTCCCTCCACCCCCACCAAGATGGCCCTGTCCCCAAGGGTGCTGCCACACCCTGATCCTTGTCAGACCCACAACAGATCCTCAGATTCAGCCTTTCTCCCTTTCCCAATGCGCCACACTCTGAGCCTGGCTCTTCCTTCTCCAGGTGGTGACCATAGCTGTCTACTCCTTCTTTGCCCTCTCCCTGGTTGGCCGCCAGTTTGTGGAGCCAGAGGGAGGCGCTACCAAACCTCAGGAGCCTCTGGAGCCAGACCAGGAGGCTGCCCCCGCCTTAGGAGACCTGGACATGTACGTGCCTCTCACCACTCTGCTGCAGTTCTTCTTCTATGCTGGCTGGCTCAAGGTGAGCACTTCATAGTCATGCCAAACTGCTCTGTAGAGACGTGAGCACAGGGTCCACCCCAATTTTGGGGACAAAGTGGGGCTCTGAGCCTAGAAAATACTGTCTCTGAAACCTTCAGGTGGCCGAACAGATCATCAACCCCTTTGGTGAGGATGATGATGACTTTGAGACCAATCAGCTCATAGACCGTAACTTGCAGGTGAGCAGGGGTTGGGGGACAGCTCTCAACCCCGGTGTGGAGAGGAGGATCCTTGTGACCTGCTGTCCGCTCCTCTGCTACCAGGTGTCCCTGCTATCCGTGGATGACATGTACCAGAACCTGCCCCCAGCCGAGAAGGACTTGTACTGGGACGAGGACCAGCCGCAGCCACCCTACACCGTGGCCACAGCGGCCGAGTCGCTGCGGCCTTCCTTCCTGGGCTCCACCTTCAACCTGCGGTGAGTGGCCTGCGCTGGTCAAGGCCAGACTTGAGCCGGACGCGGGTCCCCTCCCACCCCCTGGATCACCAATGACTCGGTGGGTCCCCGCGCCCCGCCCCGGACGGAGCCGCGTCTCGCTCAGCCCGCCCTCCCTCCCGCAGCATGAGCGACGACCCTGAGCAGAGCCTGCAGGTGGAGGCGTCCCCGGCTTCGCCTTGGCCCGCGCCCGCCGCGCAGACCCCGCTGCTCGGCCGCTTCCTGGGCGCAGGGGCGCCCTCCCCCGCCATCAGCCTCCGGAACTTCGGCCGCGCGCGAGGCGCCCCCCGGACCCCGCATCTGCTGCGCTTCCGGGCCGAGGAGCGCGAAGACCCCGAGGCCGCGGCCCGCATCGAGGAGGAGGAGGCGGCGGCGTCCGGGGACGAGGCCCTGAAGCCCTGAGGGGCTGCCCGTCCGCCTGCCTGTCCCGGGTTACCCCGCCCGCTTCCCTCCGCCCACTGCCACCTCCCCACCGTGCCCGGTCCTGCCCGCCAGCGCTGTTACAGCGGCTTTCCCCGTGTGCCTTGAGCCCGGACCTTAAAAGAGAAGACGGCGGGAAGGGCCTGAGCCAGGGTGGGAATGTGTCCACTTTGGCGGGAGAGAAGGTAGGATGGGTCGCTTGCGGGAAGTGAAGCTAGAAGGATAAATGAGACCAGGCACAAAGGACAAGATCCCAGGTGCACGGTTAGCTTCTCAGCAGCCGGGAGCTAGGCCAGTGGTTCTACTTTGAGGGAGCATCAGCACCACCGAAGGTCTGGTCAAAAGGGTGCTGGGCTCCACTCCCAGCGTTTCTGGGACATTAGATTTGGGATGGAGCCCAATAATTTGCATTTCTAACAAGTTCCCAGGTGATGCTGTGCTGCTGGTCCGGGGATCATAACTTGAGACTGATGCATTAAAAAATGTTTGGAAGGATAATATACCTTACCCTGATAACCTGCCTCAGAAAATGGGCCAGTATGTGTGCTGGAGGACTTTTGCTTTAGCTGTAATGTTCAAATTTTTGTTTACAATGAAAATATATTCATTTATTAACTTCTGTAATTGTTTAAAAATTGAATTGGCACGCACATAGTAGGATGAAAATGAAGTAAGCCTTGGGAATCTGCCCTGAGGCTGATTAAACTCATATGTGATGACAGTCATATGCTACCCACCCATGACCTTTAATGTTTGGACTTTAGTGTCCAAACACTAAAGTCCATTCCCACCAACCAAACAGCGGGAGAAAGGACAGTTTACGGGTGGAAGCACAGGTCCATCTCCGTGGTGGGCCTGCAGCACTGGAGCACTCAGTTGAGGGTAAGAGAGGGGCCTTGTGGAACAGCCCCAACAGCTCTAGACTGGAGCTGTGAAATTGAGCTCCTTTAAGATTCCTGCCTAAGCTCCAGCCTCCACCTGAAGTAATTGGTGAATGCCGAAACTGAATTTAAGGCCAAAGAATAACAAATGCCAGAACAAAGGAGGAAGTGTGGAGACAGCTGCATGCCACAATGATAGCCATTCATTCAGAAGATATTTGAGGTTTTTTGCAGGTTTTACAGGGGGAAGATAGCCTTGTTCCAGGGCAAGAATGGTCATCTGCAAAGGCAGTGGAGATGGGGAGTGGATGGATTCCAGACTTTTATTTAAAAGAGAAAGGACCCACTGGTCTTATTGACAGATTAGAGGTAGAAGTGAGGGAGGAGGAAGAATAGAAATAGATGCCTTGTAGAAGATACAGGCTAAGTGCTGAGCATTGCTTTGCTATGCTCTAAGACACATAGTTGTCAGTAAACACTGGCACTGGGTGGGAAAACCAGGTAGGTTGGTGTTTTCTATTTATTTTTTTATCCTTAGGGCAGTTTTTGTACTCAGAGGGAATTGATCTCCTAATTAATTTTCCCAGTGGTCTATTCATAGAAGTCAACAATTTAGTCAAGCTGATGAACCACTTGGATTTTGCACTTCTTTGGCTCTCGATATATGTATTGATACATACATATCAATATATATATACTTTTATTTCCCATTAACTTTAAACTTGATAAAATCTTGTTTCCCAATCAATTAATGTTGTACATATTTGAGTACCTGGTATACTGTCATACACTTTTCCAGGTGCTGGGGACACAGCAGGAAACAAATATTCTTGTTTCCCTACAGTAACTTTCCAATGGGAGGAGAGCAAAATTTGTCGGGTTAAGGAATAAGGAGAAAAAAGTGTGCAAAGTATAAGACAGTATAGAGGGAGTGACTGCAATTTAAATGTTGTGATCAGGTAACAACTCACTAGGGTGACAAAGACCTTAAGGGAATGAGCCATGTGGATATTTGGAGAGTGTACCCAACAGGGGTAGTAGCACACGAATGTGTGTATTCAGTAGGGTCAGGATGGTTGTGTGGTCGACGAAGAGTTGCCATAGTGGGGACTGGGTCGCATCAAGTTCCATAGTAGTTGGTAAGGATTTTCATTTATGAGATGGGAAACTGCTGCATCAAAAATCTGATTTTTAAAGATGATTACTCTGATTGCTGGGACTGCATTGGGGATTAACAGAAGCACTCAAAGTAGGATGCTACTGCCTGTAATGCAGGCCAAAAAGTGACCAGAATAGTAGAGATGATGTTGTGGAGGTTGAACCAAGATACGGTGACATTAGATGTGGAGTGCAAGAATAACGGTGGGATGACTCAAGATTTTCAATTTAAGCCTAGCATAGTGGCTCACTCCTGTAATTCCAGCTACCTAGGAGGCTGGTGTGGGATTATCTGAGGCCAGAAGTTTGAGACCAGCCTGGGTAACATAGCAAAGACTCCTATCTCTTAAAAAAAAAAAAAAAATCAGCTAGAGTTGGCCATGGTGGCACACACCTATAGTTCCAGCTGCTTGGGCCCAGGCTGCAGTTAACTATGAACATGTCATTGTACTCCAGCCTGAACAACAGTGTTGTATGAAGACTATTTGCTGCAGTTGAGAAAGCTGAGGAACGTGGGGGTTAGGGGCAGATAAGAGATCCATTTTGAACATGATGACCTTTGAGAGTCCTACTATACTATCCAAGTACAGATGTCAAGTAAATCTGAACTAAAGTGTTTGATGGGGCAAGTTGAGGACAAAATTGATCCTCAGGTTTAGCAATGCATTAAGTCACTGGTAATCCTAAATATTTTAAATTTCGGGTGGTGAGGGAGATTATAGAGCTCAAGAGAAAACAAAGATATATATACGCACTTTATAGAAAGACCTCTAAAGCAGACAGGATACTAACATGCAAATAGGTGGATGACATGCTCTCAGCAACAGAGTAAAGAACTCTGAACACAATTGCAAGTTTCCAGACCATCCATGAATCCAGGTTAAAAACTTAACTGATTTTCCTAACAACAGAAGGAAACAAAACCCCACTTCAGTTAGCATCCCAATGTTATTCAGAGCCACAGGGCTGCTACCCCCTCTGATAGCCTCTGCTGCTTGCCACATCCCTATTCCCACTAAAACCTGGTGAGAAATGTTCCGCCACTATTGAAAGGCACAGCCCAGGCCTTCAGGGAGATGGAGTTGTGACCAGTGGAGACTCTACAGTGTGGTGTGGTTTACCCTGTGTGGACAGCAGGAGGCAGAGGTAGGGAAGTGGTTGCAGCCACCAGTTTTGCTCAGGACAGGGAACCAGAGGACAGAGAAACAGTCGAATACTCAGACAACACAAGCACAGCAGATAGAACAATACACACCTTTATTACATGAACTAAGACAGGAGAGAGGAGGAATTATTTGCCTTTCCGGGCCTTGATTTTCCTCAGGTAGAACTCCAGCTCCTTGCCCTCTAGCACATAGCCATCTGCTCGGCCACACTGGCCCGGTCGGGACGCAATGCATGCTGTAAGAGAACACATGGTCCTTAGTGAAATGACAAAGTGACCCCATCCAAACCTATCTATCCCCTTATGAGTCTATGTTGGCTCAGGTACACCTGGGGGCAAGCACGAAGCCCACTGCTGTCTCCTCAGACACACTTTATCGTCACTTAAAGTCAGTAGCAGAACTGGACAAAGTTTTCATCACTGAGACAGCTCCACAGCATGGGCATGGACGTCCCAAAATACTTTTAAAACTCCAAGCTCCATGTGTGTATCTATGGACTTTTTCTACCCAATATTCCCTTCCCATTTCAGCTTCACACTAGTAGGGTAACCAGATGTTCCCATTTGTGCTTATACTTTGCTGTTGTTAAACTCTCTGGGTGAACCGTCTAGACCACATGGCTGGCAGTCCAATGAACTGAGGCAAGGCAAAAACGCAGAGGGCACGCGATCTTTGACCCCCACCTCCCCTAACACAACAGCCTTCTCACCGAGAAGCTTGCCCTGCTGAAACTGCTCCTCCAGAAGACCGCTGATTTTGGCATTCTTTTTCCTTTCGTCGTATTTCTTCTGAATTTTTTTGGATCGTTTTTTGTTTAAAATTTCTTCTTCCTCAGGAGTCTGAATAAAGGGGAAATAAATAGTTGGATTAGCACAGGGAAGGTCATTCTTGAACCCCACAGCCCAACACTGGCCTTCCTCAGCATTAAAAGCTTTCATCTCTCTCCCTTCAGTAGCAGAACTGGACTGAGTTTTCATCATAAGAAGGCTGGACTCAGGCTGCCCAATCCACCCCCCATAGGGAAGTACCACGCACCAGCTTGGCCCCTTTCTTGCGGCCCAGGGGCAGTGCATAGTGGGACTCGTACCACTGTCGGTACGGCGTGCTGTCAATAAGCACGATGCAGTTCTTCACCAAGGTCTTGGTGCGGACCAGCTCGTTATTGGACGCATTGTAGACAACATCAATGATCCTTGTTTTCCGAGTACAACCTGCTCACAGGGGAAATCCAGAATCAAGTCACATAAACCAGAGGCCACCCGATCTTGCTGCACCTCCCCAGGCAATTCTCCCCTAGCAGGGCCTTAAGGAGAAACACTCTGAGCCTTTACCCAGCTATAGAACATCAGCTGGTCTTCCACACGCTCATCTTTTTAGAAGTGTTTGGCTACCACACAGCCTCTAGAATCAGCCCCAACCCCTCAGGCTGCAGAGCTAAGAGAACAGGGCAGGACAGTCTGGGTAGAGAGAACTCCAGGTACCTCAAGGTTTTTCAGCAAGAAATTTCAAGTACCTTGGTCAAGGCCATAGACTTCCTGCTAAAAGCACTTACTGAAGCTTAGGAAGGTTTAGGTGCCTTCCCACCCACTGCTCAAGGGGCTCACTCACACTCTGAGCCCCAGGAGAAGTTCCCCACGTCCAGCCTCAGGGCACGGTATTTCTTGTTACCTCCCCGCACACGGACTGTGTGTATGCGGCGGG